TTTCTCCGCCCCATAAGCAGGGGACCTAGTAATCAAAGCGACACACAGGGTACGCAAACACGAACAGCAGCCAGTAGGAAGGACACCGACACGAGCTTAGTCAGCGAACGAAAAGACAGACACAAACTTCACGCTAGGCAAACAGAGCAGGGGTAGTTACAAGGATGAGAGGCGTGGGCAGACGGAGGTAAGCAGTGCGCAATAAATACGCGAAAACTCGCAGCAACCGAAGAACCACGCAGCAAACACGTACGTGCACACGCACCAGAAGCACGTGCGTCACGCTGCGTATCTACGCGGAACTGGCGATTCTGGCATTTCGGTAATTTGAAACTTCGATATCGATTGCGTGAACGATTTATTCAGCAAACTGAACCGGTGGAGCCTCGCAAAAAAAAAAAATCGTTTGACAATATGAAAGCTACTGAAATTCTTCCTAAAAGCTATATTAGCAGAAAGTACCGTGTTATAATTTATAAAGGACCTCACAAGTTTCGACCAAATTTTCCAGCACGTTATTTTGCAAGAAACGGAAGAAGCCAAGTGTACAACCAGTTTCCAAAGCTGGCAACCACAGCTGGAATCAGCGCCATCCTCGGAAGTTTCCTGAACCTCGAGTAGTCACATTTCAGCCACCGCCACATAGAGGGCGCAACCAGACATCCAATTTGTATTTTCTGTATGTTTTATGATTTTTTTAATAAATAGGCTCGATTAGCAAAAATGTGGGCTAGTAATGAGGACCTGGGACAGTAAACTCTATTTTGTACTAAAAATATCTGCCTAAATGTCTGCCAAAAGGGGTCAAAATACTCGTTTTTGACTCAACAAATACGTGATTTCACCTATATTCAAACTTTTTTTATGGAAAATCAAAAGTGAAATTTCGAAAAAGTGCCTCGCTTTGCAAAGCAGAATATGTTTTTCTTTTCGGGCCTACAATTTTATTCATGTGTGCCAATCCCTAAGCGCTGTACCACTGTACTACCAAATGAAGTTTGCCAAAATTAACTGTTTTTGTCACTTTTCACGTGAGCATTCCGAACAAAGTTTAAAGGGATACTACAACGAAATTTCGGCGCTCATTTTTTGGTTTATATGCGTTCAAAAGAGCAGTATCACATGGAACATACCAATATCTTGTTAAAAAAGTCTCGAAAAGGAATTTTAAAACGAATTAAACGATTAGCAAAGAGCACCTGGTGGATGTCGCTAACGCCTCGTTTGTAATGCTCGTCTAGGAACCTTGACAGCTAGTGACGGAGGTTGTCTCGTCTCCGGCCACGACGAGAGAAGGGGGGAAGGAGGAACTCCCCTCTTCCCGAGAATCCCTTTTGTGTGTCGCAGAAGTCGCTATTGTCCCCCTAGAAGATTATAGAAGATTAACCCGTCACTCAAAAATCGTACAAAAGCTGCCGCTTCGCTAGCTGGAACGACTAGGCCATCCTCTCGACGTCAGCCTCGCCGTAGCTTTGCTCGTCTTGAGACGACCTACGTCACGATTGCGTTGGATGTCACGTGCTCTAAGCTGGGCCTTCTCCGAGCGCTTGCCAGAGTGGGCCGTTTACAACGAAAAATACAGCCACCAGGATCAAAATACAAACGTGCGATTGTCATTTACGGATATTGTGGATCATATTCAACCTATTTTTGAACACGACGGGAATATTTCAAATTTCGTTGAAGTATCCCTTTAAGCCATATTGCAATGAAATTTAGTGTAACTCTTTCGACCATAATTACAAACTGATATAAAAAGTTTCAAATAAAATGACCGAGTAGGCGTCCAAAACTTGTGGTGCTTCCGCAAAGTGCTTCCGCAAAGTCAATTTTTCTAAAGTAAATATCTGTCAAAATAAAATAAAAAACGAAAAAAGGGCCTCCGTTGACAATGAACGCACTCTTCGTCTATAGCATTCTAAAATTGGAAAGAAATTGCTCCAATAGTGCACCCTGTACAACTGTACTACGAAACCATGTTTTGCCGAAAAGGTCAATGTTCGCGGGTGCCCTCTGAATTAGCTTTTTGCACTAAGAAAACAAATCCTACATCAGATAAAAGATAATGTTGTACACTACAAGATGATATATAACACATAATTTTACCAAGCTTGAACACGCCACGATCGCATTTCGAGAACGTGCGGATAGCGTCATATGTCATGGCCGCCGTGGGACCGCAGCCTTAAGCAAGAACGAAAGCCGGCATTTGCTAGGCCACTAAGGTATATCCGAGGGCTGTTTTCAGTCTGGCCATGGAGCAAATACCGACGCGGCATTTGCCTGGCCACAAATGTATAACTGAGGGTCGTGTTCACCTCGGCCATTGGGCAAAAAATAGGGGCCGGCATTTGCTACGCCAGGAGTTCTCAACCATCGATGTTTTGCGAACCTCTTGTGGATAGGCGAAGATGATGGATGGAGGACACTCCGTTCGTGGCAACAGGAGGGGAAAGGTACAGGTTAATTATTACGATTTTATAAATGCATTTAACTAAGGGCTAGTGTAAAGAAGACCTTTTTAGAGCACAGCTCTTAGGCGCCCATTTCCGGCTTCAGCGTCTGCGTAATTGTGCAGTGCATTATGGGACGCGTGACGTCACTGATGACGTCATCAGTGAAGTCATCGACATCGTCACTGAAGACGTAATCGGCATCGTCCCTGATGACATCATCAGTGACGTCACTGATGACGTTATCCGCATCGTCACTGATGGCGTCATCAGTGACATCACTAGTGATGATGACATCATCAGTGACGTCAATTATGACGTCATCGTTATCGTCACGTGACCCCGGTGATGTCACGTGACTCCCGTGACCCCCATGAGGTCATGTGACCCTCGTGAGGCGACCGCGAGGCTGCTTGAAGGGAGGAGTAGCAGGCAGGATGAGGAGGTGAGGAGGAGGGAAGGATATACCTTCCCCTCAGGTGTCTTCCCCTCCTCCTCAAGAGCTGTGCTCTAATCCGGCGTTACAGGGAGTGGTAAACGGCTTTCATTTTTTGACATACACACGAGGAAACTCGCCCCAAAACTAAAACATTTCTTCTCGACTTGGGAAAAAAAAAACTTTTATTGCCGGGCTTGACTGATGAGGCACGGCTTCGCGGATCCCTAGAATGCCTTCGCGGACCCCCATTTGAGAAAAACTATGCTAGGCCACCGAGGCCTTGTTTTCATCTTGGCCATTAAAAGGGAACTCCGGCGATTTTTAGAGCAACCCCAACTAACTATATTTTCGAAATCGCCATGTTTTACTCTTTCCGTTATGCTATTTAGTATCGCGAAATTCAAAATAGCTATTGTGAAATCGGCAAATAAAAATGATGCCAAAACGAAGATTCGAATATAACCTCGCTTTTCATTGCCGTGACGTCACGGGTTTGCGGTTCGAGCGGGCTGTCAAAAAATGAACTATGCCGAGCATTTGTATCGTGCTGCTGCGCGGGAGCTGGGGGACTTTCCAAAGCGTTCATTTGACACCATAAAACTGTTTGTAATCAGTTGGGAACAAAGTCTACAGCCCAAAGAGTGAACTCCTGCCCACCCGTGACGTCACTTTTTCAGTGTTGCCAGTAGAGTTTTTCACTTTGACAAACACGATGAGGACCAAATTTTAAATTCTGTAACTTTGCAACAAAAAAGTTACTTTTTCCAAATATTTGGGTTACTAGTTCAACGATGTTTGTTGGTGCTTTTAGCAAGTTTTTAGGCAAATCGGGACTATGAAGAAAATGGCGGAGTACCCCTTTAAGCAAAGACCGAGGGCCAGCATTTGCTAAGCCACTCAGGCCTTGTTTTCACCTCGACCATTGAGCAAAGAATGAGCGCCAGCATCTGCTAGGCCAGAAAGGTATATCCGAGGGTTGTTTTCAGCCTGGCCATAAAGCAAATACCGACGCGGCATTTGCCTGGCCACAAATGTATAACCGAGGGTCGTTCTCACCTCGGCCATGGGGCACATAATGCTAGCTGCGGCATTTTTAAGGCCACTAAAGGTATAGCAGACGGCAGTTTTCTCCCCAATTTAAAGGCAAAATAACATGCGAGGACAGATGTCTGTGTTCGTAGGTTTATCTTGTTGCAGGGAACAATACTCAAGCTCTACGCATCACTGTAATGTACTCAAGGCACTCGAGTGGATCAGGAGGCATCCAGATTGAGGTCTTTGTGATTTGAACATCATATGATGCGGCGATTCATATTGAACCTTCATGTTACAGCACCTGCTGCTCCGCTGTGCAAAAAGAAAAAAAATCAACCAAACCTACCTAGTTGCAATTGCTTATGATAATCAAACTCTAGGCTAAATTACAGTTGCAATAGGTTTCCAACAACCACCTCCGAAGTCTGGCACAAATGATGTGCAATGTTTCTTGTCACCCTGTACCAAAAAAAAATGGTGCCATTTACAGTGTATATTATCTACTAGGCAAACAAACACCAAAAAAACAGTTAACCGATTTCACAATATAGTCTCCGAAGTATATATATATTGCCTACTTTAAAAATTTCAAAGGTGTTGGTGGCCAGGCTGTGGTTAACTCATCGTACATTCAATGGACACAGTAAGAAAGGATCATCAGTTCGATTTACAGTCAGATTACAAGTGCATGTCCTCAGGTTAGTCAATTTATACCAGCAAAAGAAGACACCAATGTGTTGAAAGTCGAAAGATGTTTGTACTATCCGTCCTCTTTGTATAACTCAAAATCAAAAGTCAAATTTGGGGGTTTTACGTGCCAAACCTACGACGGGCATCTGGCACGCCCCAGCGCAGGACTGAGGATTAATTTCGACCACCTGGGGATCTTTTGACGTGCAACCGAAAGCTCGGTTACACAGCGCCTTCTCCGCAATGAGTCTTTGCATAACTCTTTCGTATTTTTGAATGAGGACTGTTCAAAAAGTATTCAACTTTGGCCGGAATAAATACATTTTTTTGCCTTGAGGTCTAAAACTAATCCCCTTCAAAGTACTCTTCTTGGGATTGCACACACGTCAGTGTTTGAAAGGCTTAGGTGTTTATTCAGCCAGCTGTCCCGGTGCCCCGGGCCTCTTACGCCGTAGTTCGCATGGTTTCTGAATGAGCCGAAGTCGTATCTTCTTTGATGACTTGGCTACCTCCAGTTCCACATGGCCCAGGCGTCAGCACAATGTCTGCAAAATGTTATGAGAGCAATTCACTTATAAGATAGAGACAAACAAAATTTAAATTCGATTAATAGCTTTTTTTATGTCACCATTTCGGAACAATGTTTCTATCAAACTAGAAAACCAGAAAACAGAAAAATTGCCGCTCATATGGCTGCATGAAAAAGTATGATCTGCTTGTAACACTGGAATGTGCTTGCGAGAGGTGACTTACAGCAAAATAGTGCTGTTTTACCAACTTCATGTGAATGTATAAAATCTTCTAAACCTGCATAACTAAGGCACCTGAAAAAGAAGCATTTGAAGTATTTATTTATTTATTTATTTGAAAATACTGCAGGCCTTTCTCAGGCCCTGGCAGGTTACAGGCAACAATACACAATAGTACCATATACAATGCTAAAAAGAAAAAAAAGGTAATACATAAATACATAACGACGGAGAACACAGTACATTGAAAATTACATCAAGCAATGACACAAAAATTAAACACTTACAGTTTTTATAGAAATACATGCTTCATCAGATTACATTCAACGAATGCTGACACAAAAAGATAAATTTTTAGGATATCCTACATGTTACAATCAAAACACATTTTGGCTACAAGATTTTCTAAAAGTACTTTGTCAAGCCCTTTACGAACGACTGCATTTCGCAAATTTTGATTGATTCCTCCAGCAACCAATTCCAATCTTCAATGCTATGAACAAAGAACGAATACTTGAAAGTGTCATTATGACTGATGTACGGTTTGATCATTTTACTGTGGTTAGTTCGATTAGAGTGACTATGTGGTTTCTTCAAATAATTATCTGCTCTCATTTTAAGGTGACCATGATAAAGTTGATGTAGGAACTTTAAGCGCCCACTACTATTTGCATTGACAGCTGCCATTAAATGATGTTTTCTATATATTAAAATGAGTACAGTGGACTCACAATAATTCAAACTCTAACATTTCGTACTGCCGGTTAATGCAAACAAATTTATATATTGGTTGCTCCACTATATTTTTAACGCATTTTTAAGCTGCTTAATTCAAACAATGTTTTCGCTCAATGCACACACTATTTGTTCATTGCGGCGGGTTCACCCCATTCAGTGCGCTTCTCACCGAGCACCTGTGTACTGCGGGAAAGCAACATTTTCGAATCTCGCAAGCATTGCTTTTTCGCGGTACACCGGTGCTCGGTAAGAAGCGCACAGGATGGGACTAACTCACTCCGATTATGCAAGCAGCACTGTCCTGGAAATCTGCTTTCTTTATTCATGCTTTTTTTTGCTTGTTTTTTTTTAAAGCAGTTAACTTCCACATGAAAGAAAAAAGTTTTGCATATAGCAAGCAGATTTATGAATTCCCTCAATTAGGATAGCTGGGCGTCTCTTTAGGTTTAATTTTATGTGAAATCTGTGGTTTACATGACACCCCAACGTAAGCATTGGACGTTCAGAGGTCACAGTTCGTAGATAAAGTTATATTAAAACTAATTGAGCCTAGAAGTGGACAAGTAGAAGGTCGGGAACGACCTTCACGAGTTCAGCTGAATTTTTGTTTAAGCACGGTACAATGGTAGTAAAAGGCATTGAGAAACTATTCTATATTCAATTAGAAAACTTTCGGCCAAAATCACTATTCACTTTGAACTTCACCAATGTTTCATGTGTGCCCTTTCTAAATAGGCCTGTGTAGAGAATAGTGTAAAAAATCTACTTGGTATATGTAGTTATTCCTATAGCAATTTCCTACTTTGCCTTACATCATATTTACATAAATTTAAGATAATTCAAACTTCTGATATTTCAAACCAAAATCTGTGGCTTTCAGGAGTTTGAATTATTGAGAGTCGACTTATTAAAAAATACAACCCACCCTCCCAAACCCAAGGACCTAAACATAGACTTCAAGCAACAGCTTTGCTAGCAGACAAACAAATGAAATGCCACACCAGAGGTGTAGCTTCTTTCAGGGATGCGAATCATAATCTCACAGAAAAGATGACCACAAGTTCACAGGAGGCTGCCGTCCCGTGTAGGAAAGTGGCACAATCACCGCCAATATAAATATTGTTGTAAACTTTGCACACCTCCAGGTTATGCCCCAGGACGCAGCCATCAGATCGGAACACCCTGACGATTCCAAGCTTCAATTGTACTCTCGAGTACTGTGCACAACGCACACAACCTGCACAGCCCTGCACAAGTGGCCCATTCTCGTGGGCGCCGTGAAACTCCACCTTTACGAGTTCGCGTGCATGTTCTGCCACATTGGCTTTCTTGCAGAGCCTCTTCCAGAGCTGTTCAAGGTCTGTTACCTGACCTCAGCATGCGTTTTAGCATGCCGAGGTGGTTCTCGAAGGGGAAGCTACTGAAAGACTCCAGTGCTCCCAGCCTTCGGACGTCGTTGGCAATGTCTGTAAGTGCATAAACATTGTACACTACAGCTTCCTCGCCATACAGACGCTCTGTTTCCTTGACAACATACTCCAAGGGTTACTCGCATATGTAATCACTTGTGCAGAGCTGCTGACACAAGTGAGGATCCGAATGGCAACATGCCAGCACATGTAGTGCACATAATCGTGCACAGGCAGCACCGAATGCAGGTACTTTCTCCTGCATACAGGAGAAAGTACCTGCATTTGGTGGCTTTCCAATGCCCGCGCTCACGCATGACGCGAGGATGCCTGGAGAACTCCCTTGGCGGAGAAGATTCGTAGGTTTCCCTGCCCACACCTTGGAAGCCCCGTGTTCTCGTCCGTGCGGTCCACTCCGAAAGAGCACGCAGTAACAAGAAAGGGTTTCTTACGTCTTGTTTATTCTCTGTCTCCACCCCGAATGCCCCTGCGCCTCCCTCCCAGCTGCGCCCTGCCGTCGCGTGGCACTGCCGTGGGCGTCTTGCCCCCTGCCGCAGCAGTGTGGCAGCAGCCACCACACCTCCCCTCTTCAGGGGGAGCCCGGGCCTAGGTCCAGCTGGTCCAGGAGCATCGCGGGGTTCGGCTCATTTTCTGCGCCCCGAAGTGCCCCTGGGCGAATACGGCGCAGAATAACCAACGCGGCCGCGGCATCGTCCTCCGTAAGCGGGCAAAACGCCACGGCCAAGGTCGGGTTTCTCACCGCTCGGCGCGCAGCGTGCAGGGCGCCATGTCGGTGGTGTTCCCAGTGGACAATTAGCACGCCGCACACCGAGCAGAGCGGCGCGCTCCTCCTCGGTGAAGGGCGCCGGAGGGTCGCCGCTACGGCGCTGCACCAGCCTCCGTTCATGGAACGGAGGAGGGGTAGAGTCGGAGGGCTCGCCTACCAGGGGCCGGGGCTGTTCCACCCAGGGAGCCCACGGGGACTGCGGGGACTGCGGGGCCTGCAGAACGTTCGGGCCAGACGACCCAGGTCGCCGTCCCGGGAACCTCCATGCCCTCGGCACGGACGGAGGCAGGCATTGTTCGGGGCGCCTGGCTCTGCCTGTTGCTCCCCTGTGCGCCACCTTGGGGGGGCCACTGGTATGGCGGGTTCCTCCGGCGGTAGTTTCGAACCATCTGGAAGACAAGGCAAGTCAGACAGGCACCTCTTATAAACTGAGATATGTTATTCGTTAGGGACGAGATGTATACGAAGACGGAACATTGACAGACGACCTACCCGTCGCCTCACCTCTAATAAAGTGAGATATGTTATCCATTAGGGAAGAGATGTATATGAGGACGGAACACTGACAGGCGACCTACCCGTCGCCTTGCCCTCAAAGAACCCAGTGAGAACTTATTCAGCTGAAATAAGTGGCCGCGCCGCTTGATAGTGTCTTCCAACTGCAGCGGCAAAGCTCTCCCCCGCAAGATGCCCCCTGCTCCTCCCCTCCCTAACATAAATGGTCTCCCACTAAAACTGTAGGAGCTTGTGTGCCTTCGTTTGTTGTCCTCACCGCCGCCTCATGTTGTACTGTGGCGGGGGTGGTGTAGGAACCTGTGGGCAGTGATCAGGATCACTTTCAGCTGGACCCTGGAGCACTTCTAACTCTTTGGGTTCATTGAAAGGTTTTATGCGGGTAACATGAATGGACCCGCTTACTCTACCGGACTCGCAATGCACCAGCTTGTAAGTGACGTCAGATAGTGCTTTCCTAATGCGGTAGGGGCCTTCCCACCTCTTGAGTAGGGACGCCGTGAAGCCCCTAGCTGCGTCAATCAGCGGATGAGTTCACCTCAGCACCAGATATCCTACATTGAACCTCAAATTCCGCCTCCCTTTGTTGTACTGGTTCGCTTGCTGGAGTCTCGAGATGTCTAGGTTCTCTCGAGCTTCACGTATGTAGGTTCCCAAAGAAACGCTGCTGGAGATCTGCTGCGAACTGCGTAGTGATGCGCTGCATGCGTGCTTGATCTGTGCAAAGACCATTTTACAGGGGAAACGCGAGCTCTTTTTCGAAGTTCAGTAGGGCTGGGGTAAAACCCGTAGACCGGTTCACTGTTGTGCGTGTGGCGAATGCCATTTCCGCCACTTTCGCGTCCCAATCCTTGTGCTGCTTTGTGTACGTGACCAGCATCATTTTGAGGTTTCGGTTTACTCTTTCCAAACTATCCGCCTGTGGGTGGTACGGCGACGTGTTTTTGTGCCGTATCCCCAATGCCTTGCATGCGTCCACAAACACACTGCTAATAAAACAAGAAGCGTTGTCCATAATGAGTGTTGCAGGAAAGCCGAACAGAGCGAATGTCTCGAGAAGGCAATCCCAGATTCTTCTGGAGTACAGTTTGCACAGAGGAAACAGTTCAACCCAACCGGTGAAGTGGTTTGTAACTACAAGCAAATACTGGTTTCCTCGCGGACTACGGGGGAAAGGTCCGACCATGTCGCATGCAATGCATTCCCAAGGGTATCTACTTTCGACCGCTCTCATTAAGCCTGGTGGTTGTCTCCCTCGGAAACAAGCACCAAGCAGTTGTACGGCGTGCCTTCTGAGCCGCCGTACAACTGCACGTGTACTTCATAACGTCCTGTCTCATACCAGGCAC